TGAACTCCATAGCTAATGTCCCGGTCTAATATAACATACATTAGCCCGATAAGCTCCAGGGAGCCGTAGGGGCTCCCCACAGAAATGTTTATACTCTCTCTCAGCTTTCTGACTTCAATTTTTGTGCTATGTCATTCAATTTGGTATCAAATTGTTTATAATAGAATGCTGTAAAGGGATCTTTGCATATAAGAACATACAAGCCTCACATATCTATGCTTTCGACGAAAACTCAATAACTTTTCCCTCATGTGTGTTTCTTCCAATACTTTCATCATGGATTGGCTCTGTTCTTGATCAGTATCCCTCTGGGAGTCAATTTGCAGTGTTTAGAAAGCCGACAAAAACAAATACCCGAGATATAATAAATGGAATGGGAAACTTCGATTCAAGGGGAGGACGTGGCTGTTATGAGCGAGGTCATGAGAACAGTGAGCCTCAAGCGTAGGTGGGTGCCCACACGGCTGGAGGAAAATTGCCATGTGGGGTATATAGATAATAGGCAGAAGTTGGCATGCATCTTAAAACATAACCCATAGTATTCGAAGAATAAATGGAATTTCTACAAATTTTAAAATTATTGACGCATATTTGCATCATCAGGCATACTCTGCACATTATTTTGATTACGTGATGAAATATGGGGCATTGGGCATCGAAAGTGTTAAGGTGTTTGCGCCTGTTCTCCGGGAGGCGCTGTTCTTGTTTTATGCCTCGTGTGTCGGCAGGCTGTCCTCGCACTCACTCTGTGGATTCTGCTTGGGCCCTGGCTCTTAGGTTTTCGTATGCTTGTCTCTCCCTTAGGCGGCGTGGTTCCAGCTGCAGTCTCGACGTCATCTGTTTCTGAGTGGGTCCCGAGTCATTCGGCAGTTAATCGAGCATCTGTACAGAAGTTTGAACTTCGCTGTGATTGTTTACCTACTGGGTCGGTTTTGTTGCGGCGTCTGTTCTGGTTCCTTCGGAGCCTTTCTTTCCTCCTCGATCGCTGAGTTCGTCCCCTGGGGCCTTGTGTCAGCTGCTATGTCGCCCGTTTCCTCTTCAGGCTTTTAGGGGTTCAATGCCCTGGCACCTTCTGTGGCCCTGCTTCATTGTGTTCATGAATGCCTCCTCTCTTGGCTGGGATTTTGTGACCAGTGCTCACCAGGCCGGCCAGGGGCGGTGTGCTCCGTTGTGTCGTCGGGCTCACAGTCGGTGCGGGAATTTGCGGCGGTGTGGCTTCCGCTGCATCGGATTTGTCTCGCTCAGGGCTCCATGATCCAGCTCCATTTGGACTGCGCTTCATAGGTTCATTGCCTGAACCATGGGGGATCTCTGAGGTCTGTGGCTCTTTAGGGCTGGTCGCTTTGAGTGGCTCATCTGCCGAGTTCTCTGTGTTTAGCTCTGCGTGAATTTCATATCTGGGTTCTGTCCAATGGCCTGTCGCAGTTCATTCCCCTGTCGACGGAATGGACGGTCGACGCTGACTTATTCAGTTGGCCCTGCTGGACATACAGGCCCCCAGAGGTGGACCTCTTCACATCGGTGTGGTCGTGGCATCTCCTGGTGTATATGGCGTCATTCCCCAACTGCGAGGCCTTCGCTGTAAATGCTTTTTTGGCAGGACTAGTCGAGGTGGGGTTACCAGTTCCTCTTTCCCCCGGTTCAGCTGTTGTTTCAGTTCAGCTCTGGCTCATCTCGAGTCCTATCGGAGGGAGGGTTCTCCTGGCCCATAGTGGCCGGCCCAGCCTTGGTTTTAGGTACTGCTTGATTGGTGTCCGAACTCAGTGCATTTACTGTAGCTCCGCCTCTTTCAGCAGATCGGACCGGTGAGGTACCGTGTTGGTTTGGTCTACTGTTCCGTACTTTGTGTCTGGAGTTTCTGACACAGGTTTATCATCATCTGTATGGTGACCAGGTGGCTTCTCTCATGGTGTCCCACCTGCAGTCATCTTCTCAGTGACAGTATGAAGTTTCTTTGTGGTGTTTTTGCCATTTCCATTCCCTGCATAGGTTGTCTTTGGTCTCAGATCATTTTGTGTTGACTTTCTTTCTTAGCTCTTTCAAGACAGGCATCTTATGCCGAATACTGTCACCTTATATTGTGCGGCGCTGGCGGAGCCTCTCCAGCTTGAGTTCGGGGTGGATGTCACTTCAGCTTTGTTTCGTAAGCTTTCTCACGTCATTTTCCACCTCCGGCCTGCTCATGCGCTGCCTGAGCCGTCCTGGTCTTTGGACCAGTTACTCTCCTTTCTTTTCCTTGGTTTGTGGTGGCCCCTTTGGTCCAAGATTGTTTCCAGAAAGCTTTGTTCTTGTTGGCTTTGGCTTCTGGGGGTTGGGTCGGGGAGCTTCATGCTCTCCTCCGGCGCAGAGCCTTCTGCTCTTTTGGTCCAGGTGGACATTTTGTTTGTCTGCATCTGTCTCCCTCTTTTCTGGCGATGAACGAGACGGCGGGCTTCCAGAGGGGTCCCATGGGTTATTGATGTTTGGTTGGTCAGGCTGGGGTGCATCATGTTTTATGTCCGGTTGCAGCTTTATGCGGTTATCTGCGCACCTCGACTTGTGTGTCTGGAGACGCGTTTTGGGTTGACCCGGTTTCTCTTGTTCCCTTTTCCAGGGCTTGGGTCTCTTTGGTCGTCCGCAGATTCATAAAGTCTAGCCAGCCTGCGGTCTACCCTCGCGCCCATGATATTCGTAAGTTGGCAGCTTTGGCTGCTGTGTTTGGCAATATATCTTGGGCGGTTATTCAGGCACGAGGATTTTGGAGTTCGAGCAGGGTCCTGGCTGCCTGATATCTAGTTAACCCTTGAGCTGCTAAGGGGTCCTGAGGAGATTTACACCCCTGTGCGCAAGAAAACAAAATTATAAAAAATTATTTCGTCTTCTAAAAATGTTAATTTGTGTCCCCTGAGCATGGGAAAACTAAAAAAAAAAATCGTAGGTGACATATTTTGAGCGCAATAGGCTGAGGAAGTCTGGCAAAAAGTGGGCGTTGACAGAGCGGTCGTCAGACCCGGTCAGCGTCACCCACGCTGACAGGTGGGAGTTGCCACAAAGATTTTATTACCTAATTATTTCAATGTCTTTGATTGAATTTTTCTAAATTTTTTTGCAGTAATATTATTCAATAGTGTGTATTGTGATATATTTATATAATAAAAGTGGTTAATAATCGCTATACTCAAAAGTATGATGTGCATATTAGTGATTCAATTATTATGTTTATAAAACTATAAACAAATAGTTTTGCTGCTATTACACTCTATACACAGGTTATATATAAGTATTGGCATGTTTTGGTCACCATAACGAACCACTAAGTTGGTATTGAGAGTCGAAAAGCAACGAGGAGTTACCGCCACACACCAGCCAGCCACTCGCTGCCACTCCCTCAACACACGCACTAAACTTTCTCCCCCAACAATACCATTTGTGGTGTTATTACACTATATACAGACGTTATATATAAGTATGTATATATTTTGTTCACCACAACTGTACAGCTAAGCTGATATAGTTAGTTCAGGCACTAAGAGTCGTCGCTATACACAGATGGCGGCTGGCGGCTCCCTCACTCTTTCAAGGTCACACGCACTAAACTTTCTCCCCCAACAATACCTTTTGCAGTGTTATTACCCTATATACACATATTATATATAAATATCTACATGTTTTATGCACTGTAACTGTACACCTAAGCTTGTAGTGCGCCCAAAGAGCATAGTGGCCACCCTCTACACAGCTAGACAAATCGTGCAGACGATGTCACCTCCGTCACCCATATGGCTCCTCCCAGCATAATCCTTTTGCTGTTATTACACTAATGCACACATTATATATAAGTATCTACATTCGTGTTCACCATAGAGAACCACTGAGCGGGTATGGTGAATGCAAACAATAACAGGTGGCCACACAGTCAGTAAACGATGCTGTCTCCCTCCGTCTCTCAGCATCACTCCTCACACAGCGCTAATTATTACAACAATCCTGCTATTATCACAACCCTGGTTATTTATATCACAGTCATTGGTCATCTGTAATATTGTCATCGCTAAATAATAACAATTATATATTTATTTTGACATTTTTCGGCGATGCTGTGGTCACAAGCTGAACATCAATGCTGTTCGCTCATGCTGCGTGCGCCGGCCTTGGTTGCTCCAACAGTACTGTGCCTCTCACACCTGAGAATATTGCCCACGATTTTTTTTTAAAATGGCATCTGTTTACAAGAGCCCTGAGGAAGCTACTGTGAACCCCGTGTAGCCGCGGGCCATTTGAATCAGGCCTGGCACCCTATGGCGTATATATACGCCATGCGCACCATGGGACATGTTACTCAGGGTGTATATATACGCCATGCGCAGTTTAAGGGTTAAAGCCTGGTATTGAGGGAGTTTCGGGCATCACTTAACTCGACGACATTCGTAAACATAACTTTTCCAGTTTTGTTAATTGATTCTTCATTAATAAACAAACTGTTGCCAACTACGCCACAACATGGTCAAAAGAATGGCAACCTGGGGTACAACTGCACCCTCGAGAATTCTCGAGGTATGCAAGTAGTACGCAACTACTAAATAATGAAAGTGTAGTGCAAGTAGTAACCCAGGTGGCAATTCTTTTGACCATGTCGTGGAGTAGTCGTGTAGAGCATGCATTTTTTTAATACTCGGCGCATAGGATCAAATCCTCCTCACAACTCCTAAGGATTTTCTCAATAATAATAATAATTATTTATTATTATTATTATTATTATTATTATTATTATTATTATTATTATTATTTTTCATTCAATTGTAGAATGTCGTGACCACCATGAACACAAGAACCACCTGCTGTGTTTACTGTATATCAGGACACTCCAGATGCATGATAAACTTACCTGTATAGAATGGAAATCTGCTTACATAGAGGAGGTCCTGTTACATGGATACATGAGGGCCCACTGTACTTCTCAATATTACAATTTTAAATACACAACATTTGTTCTTGTTTTACATTTTTGTTAATTTTTTCAGGGTATGACTTGGTACTAGCAGAGGATGAAGAGATGAACAGGATGATTGAAAGTATGAAGCTCTTTGACTCCATTTGCAACAACAAATGGTTTGTGGAGACATCAATAATTCTCTTCCTAAACAAGAAAGATTTGTTTCAAGAAAAGATTACAAAATCGCCATTAACGATCTGTTTCCCAGAGTACCAAGGTACGTTGTTGTAAGGGTTTTTGAGAGTTTGGATGTTTACCAAAAAAATAGTGAGATATGGAACTGGTAGAGAGATAAGAGATGGGCCACACACCCACATCATGGGTGGATGGATGAAAAATCTAACATCTAACATGGATGAAAAATTTTCTGACATAGAAAAATGAGGGCTGTGATCAGAGGCAATGTATCGGACTGGAGAAATGTCACAAGTGGAGTACCACAGGGTTCAGTTCTTGCACCAGTGATGTTTATTGTCTACATAAATGATCTACCAGTTGGTATACAGAATTATATGAACATGTTTGCTGATGATGCTAAGATAATAGGAAGGATAAGAAACTTAGATGATTGTCATGCCCTTCAAGATGACCTGGACAAAATAAGTATATGGAGCACCACTTGGCAAATGGAATTTAATGTTAATAAATGCCATGTTTTGGAATGTGGAATAGGAGAACATAGACCCCCACACAACCTATATATTATGTGAGAAATCTTTAAAGAATTCTGATAAAGAAAGAGATCTAGGGGTGGTTCTAGATAAAAAACTATCACCTGAGGACCACATAAAGAATATTGTGCGAGGAGCCTATGCCACACTTTCTAACTTCAGAATTGCTTTTAAATACATGGATGGCGATATGCTAAAGAAATTGTTCACGACTTTTGTTAGGCCAAAGCTAGAATATGCAGCAGTTGTGTGGTGCCCATATCTTAAGAAGCACATCAACAAACTGGAAAAGGTGCAAAGACATGCTACTAAGTGGCTCCCAGAACTGAAGGGCAAGAGCTACGAAGAGAGGTTAGAGGCATTAAATATGCCAAAACTGGAAGACAGAAGAAAAAGAGGTGATATGATCACTACATATAAAATAGTAACAGGAATTGATAAAATCGATAGGAAAGATTTCCTGAGACCTGGAACTTTAAGAACAAGAGGTCATAGATACAAACTAGCTAAACACAGATGCCGAAGAAATATTAGAAAATTCACTTTCGCAAACAGTGGTAGACAATTGGAACAAGTTAGGTGAGAAGGTGGTGGAGGCCAAGACCGTCAGTAGTTTCAAAGCGTTATATGACAGAGTGTGCTGGGAAGACGGGACACCACGAGCGTAGCTCTCATCCTGTAACTACACTTAGGTAATTACACCAGCCAGCAGCGATACATTTTGCCTGTCTGGTGTGTTTATTGAACTATTGGTACATCCCTTGGGTTGTACCTGTGCGTGGTGTTGGGTGGCTCCTCCTCCTTCAGGGGGTATGGGGCTGGCAGGGACAGGCCTCTTCTCCTGCGCTCTGTCAGGTCATCTCAGAATGGGTACTCTTGGGCGTGGTCGAAACGATGGCGTCCCTCAAAAGGGTTTCCCCGTCTGTTCCCAGTCCCATAACGGGATTGTGCGGTTCATTCTGGACTTGTCCTGTCTGAACCCCTGGGTCTAGTGCCCCTCTTTTTGGATGACTACTCTGTCCCAGATCCGGCTTCTGTTGGAGCCGGGCGCCTTGATGGTATCTGTATCTCCAGGACGCGTATTGGCACATCCCGATTCATCCGGGGCTCAGGGATTGGCTCGGTTTTGTTATGAGGCGTCTCGGTTACGGCTTTCGTTGTCTCCCATTCGGGCACCTCGCGTGTTCACTCGCCTTACCCGGGTCCTGGTGGCCCGTCTGTGTCTCTTGGGTCTTCGGGTGCTGGCCTACCTTCACGACTGGGTGGTCTCGGCTCCCAGCCAGTTCGCGTGTCTGCTCGCCAGGGATCTGGTTCTTTCCCAGCTCTTCGGGTTCAAGTCCCTGGTGAACTGGTGGAAGTCCCATCTTGTTCCCTTTCAGGTTCAGATTTGGTTTGGTCTTGTGTGGGACTCTCAGACTGCTTCTTTGTCTCTCCCTCCGGAATCTCTGTTGTGGCTGCGCTCCCGCCTTCGCCTGTTTCTGGGGGGGCTCCTGGGTTACTTGGCAGCTGCTCAAGGGTTTGTTCAGGAGCTTGAATTTTAACATAATGGTCTACCCACCAGGTCGGATTTGGCTTCGCCAGCTGTTTTGGTTCCTTCGGGGACGTCCCTTCCGCCTCTCTCACGACCGCTGGGTTCGGTCTCCACGGGCCGTGCGTCGGCTGCCGAGTCGCTGGCTACGAGCCCTCGCTCGATGTGTTCACGGACGTGTCATCTCTTGGCTGGGGCTTTGTGACCAGTGCTCACCAGGCCGGCCAGGGGCAATGGGGTCCATCCTTCTGTCAGGCCAACAGCACGGTGCGGGAGTTTACGGCGGTATGGATGTCGCTTCGGAGGGTTTGGGTCATTCGTGGATGGACGATCAGGCTCCATTCGGACTGCTCCCTGGTGGTTCATTGCGTGAACCGAGGGAGTTCGATGCGCTCCTTGGCTCTATGGGGCTGGTCGCTTTGGGTGACTCATCTGTCGAGTTCTTGGGGTTTGGCTCTCCTGGCGGTTCACGTTCGGGGGGGTGTCCAACTTCTTGGCGGATGGCCGGTCTCAATTCATTCCCCTGTCCATGGAATGGATAGTCGACACTGACTCATTCAGTTGGCTCTGCCGGATGTATGGGCTCCCGGAGGTGGACCTCTTCGCATCGACGTGGTCGAGGTGTCTCCCGGTATTTGTGGCGTCCTTCCCTGACTGCAAGGCCATCTGGGTCAATGCCTTTTGGCAGGACTTGGCGAGGTGGGGTTACCAGTACCTCTTTCCCTCGGTTCTGCTGTTGCCCCAGGTCCTGGCTCGCTTGGAGACTTACCAGGGGAGAGTAGTCCTCTTGGTCCCTCGGTGGCTGGCCCGGCCTTGGTTTCAGGCGCTGCTTGCTCGATTTCCAAACCCAGGGGGTTTTCCCGTGGCCCTGGCTTTTTCATCATATTGGTCCGGTCCATTACGTGGCCGGTTCGATCTTAGTCATCGCGTCTGATATTTTTGTCTCTGGTCTATCACCATCTGTATGGTACTTAGGTGGCTTCGTTAATGATGTCCCACCTGCGTGCTTTGTCTCGGTGGCAGTATGAAGTTTCCTGGCAGTCCTTTCGTTTCTTTTTGTCTCTTCGCAGGGTTACTTCGCTTTCTGTTAAGGTTGTCCTTTCCTCTCTCTCTTGGCTGTTTCAGGACCGTCATCTTATGCCGAATACCGTCGCCTCATATTGTGGGGAGCCGCTGCAACTGGCTTTCGGCATCGATGTCACTTCTGTCACCGTTTCACAAGCTGTCTCAGGCATTATTTCACCTCCAGCCTGCTTATGCACCGCTTGAGCTGTCCTAGTCATTGGACAGGGTGCTTGCTTTCTTATCCCTCTTCCCCTCGGTTTGTAGTGGCTCCTTCAGTTCTGGATTGTTTCTCCAAGGCTCTTTTCGTGTTGGCATTGGCCTCTGGGGGTCGGGTTGGGGAGCTTTATGCTCTCCTCCTGCGCAGAGGTTTCTGCTTTTTTGGCTTAGGTGATAGGTTTGTTCGTTTGCAACCGTCTCCTTTTTTTCTGGCGAAGAATGAGATGGCTGCTTTCCGGAGGGGTCCTTGGGTTGTGTTTGCTTGGTTGGTAAGGCCGGGGGTGCATCATGTGTTGTGTCCGGTTGTGGCTCTCCGTCGTTATTTGCGCGCCACGGCTTGTGTGTCTGGAGATGCGCTTTGGGTTGATCCGATTTCCCTTCTCTCCTGTTCCAGGGTTCGGGTCTCCCTTGTCGTCCGCGGGGTTATTCGGTCTAGCCAGCCTGCGATCAATCCCCGTGCCCATGACATTCTTTAATTGGCTGCTCTTGCTGCCTTCTTTGGTAACTTGTCTTGGGCTGACATTCGGGCGCCGGGTTTTTGACGGTCGAACAGGGTCCTGGCTGCACGCTACCTGGTCAGTGTTCTGAGGCCTAGTCGGGCCTGTGTCGCTTTGGGTCGGCAGTTGCAGCCAGTTGTCTCGACTTCGCATTGAGGGGCGAGTGCCTCCCGCCTCCCGGTTAAGTCCCTCTTGGTTTCGTCTTTTGGTAACTCTGGGGAGCCGAAGGGGCTCCCCCAGAAAACCAGCGTTGAATGTAATGAAACACCATTATCTGGGCGAGACCTGGAGGCTCACTGCCATTCCTCCCTTGCTCCGGTCGGTGTTTTTTGTGTGTATTTTTGACATCCAGTTTAGAACTGGGGTGCAGGTAGCTGGCATGAGGGGTCAGAGGCTCCCCCTTTCTCCTTCCGGGGAGAAGAGGAGCTGCGCAGACAACAACGGGAACATGGTGACATCATGCTCGTTTGCTTGCTTGTCTTTGGGGAGTTCTGTCCACTCTTTTTACTTTTAATAGTAGTTTCAACCAGATTAGGGGTTTGTTTTTGGATGCTTACCTTTCTGGGTGCCTGACCTGGTCAATGGCAGAAATAGAATGCTCCAAATCACATGTGCATTTCTATAGGCACGGATATTTATATATATATATACTTCTATATAGCTCCTCGTGCCTCTCTGAGGGGGGCCAGGTTCTGGCTCGTGGTCCCTGGTAAGCCTAAGAACTCCATTCACACTAACTGGTGCCAAAGTCTAACACAGTGGGGCAAAGTTGAAAAAAGTATACACTTTTCAGAATTACCGCGCTCTCTAATGTAATGAGAGGCACTTTCTGGTAACCGCAGCCTGTTTTCATCACGTCGGCGGGTGGAGATCACTGCTGTTTTTGATGTTATATGCATATAGGCCTGCTGGGAATTCTATTGCGAACACATTGATACCAAAATAAAAGACCTAGGACGAGAATTGAGTTGACAAAACTGAAAAGAGTGTAAACATTTTATCACTCTTGTGCGTTCTTGGGTAACTTTCTCTCACTTTCTCTGTTAGTTGCAGATGGTAAGCCGGGCTTTTGGAGTTTATATGCATTTAGTCCTGTAGAGAATTCTATTGCGAACACATTGATACCAAATTGAATATCTTAGGACGAGAATTCAGCTGACAAAGTTGAAAAGATTATACACTTTTCAGAATTTACCACGCTCTCCCTCGCTCTCCTGCGGAACGCCTAAGCCCACCTGAGGTAGTGGGGAGGTCCAGCGCCCGGTGAGCGAAAGTGTTAATCTGTTCCACACCCCCAAAAATATTAACTTACAAATACATTTTATACTAAATATCACTAATTTTGTACTAGCTACAATACAGTACTGTATTTATATCTTACCTTGAATGAGGACTTTTGTTGGCATATGTAAGATGGTGAGGAGGAAGGGAGAGATTAGTGTTTGGAAGGGGAGTTCCCTTCCATTATAACATGAGGCAGTGATGACATTGCTGGGGTACTGTCTCTCTCTCCTACATTTTGCCTGCATACCACTAGGACCTGCGTGTGGCTCACTGCTCGTTTTTCTCACTAAAAACCTGTCTAGCAACACTTGTTTTTCCCTACTTAGTATGTAACACACTTGTCTGAAGTGAGACATCACATTGTCATTAAAAAAGATTAACACAGCGGCCTGCTACAACTTGATTTGGGTGACACTTTTCAGCAAAGCTTTGCAATTCTTCTCATACTGCACACATTTCCTTAATAAATGAGGAAGGGGCATCCTCTACTCTACATCAACAACCCGCACTCCATTTTCATGTTTACGAATGATCTCTTGGTTTTCCTCTATGGTCATCCTCACATGTGTTTTCTTAGGTTGAACCTTACCAATGACTTTCTTGGGACCCATGGTGTGATACATAATAATTACTTTTATGTTCAAAAAAAATAAAAGCACAAAAATAATGAAATTCTTTGCAAGCATGATCGTCACTAAATGGGCGGCTCTGGTAGACTGAGGCGGGATCGGCCGTGCCACCAGGAACCACGCTATCGGTCAACTCATACGCGTATCAACAAAGTCGCTAGTCCCGGCAAAGGTCATAAGTCGAGTCGCATTTTCCGACAAAATTTGTCGTAACTCGAAAAATTTGTAAGTAGGGACATTCGTAAGTCGAGGTGCCATTGTATATCCATATCAGCCTGGATAAGCTCCAGGGAGCCTCCAGGTCTCACCCAGAAAATGGCGTTTCATTACATTCAATGCTATTTTTTTTTATTATTATTATTATTTAGAATACTGTATGAATTATTTTTGTTTATAAAAGGGTAGCACAGGGACTGGTAATATCCCTTCCTCCCTCTCTTGTTTGCCTGTGACCAAGACCTCTTGAGTTATGATGTACTGCTTATTGGCAGATTAATGTCAGAGAATTGTTCGTTGTGAACTTTCAAGACATTCTTCAGGTCGTGTAATGCAGTGCTCAGTGGAGTGAAGTTACAAGTGAAGGGTCTCGGGTACCATTCTCATGCAGTAGCAGAGACGTTTTGGCACGTTTCCTTTCACCTAATGCTTCTGTTCTGCTAGCAGTAAATAGGTACCTGGGAGTTAGGTAACTGTTGTGGGTTGCATATTGGGAGATCTCTTTAAGCCTAACAGGGTTCATGTCCAGAACCACGGGAGACAAAACTATCACGTCGTCCCAGAATAGCTTGTTATCGTGTTTCCGAATGTGTAATTGAGCGTTAGTAATTCAAGTCAATTTAACTCTCGCCCCACAGGCAACAACACGAACGAAGATTCCGCCAACTACATCCGTATGAAGTTTGAGAACCTCAATAAGCGGAAGGATCAGAAAGAGATCTACACGCACTTCACCTGTGCTACCGACACTAGTAACATTCAGGTCAGCTGATGCTCGTCTTATAGCACTGTGGTTGTGGTTGACTGGTAAGGTGGTGTGTTATAGCACTGCTTGTGGTTGACTGGTAAGGTGGTGTGTTATAGCACTGTGGTTGTGGTTGACTGGTAAGGTGGTGTGTTATAGCACTGCTTGTGGTTGACTGGTAAGGTGGTGTGTTATAGCACTGTGGTTGTGGTTGACTGGTAAGGTGGTGTGTTATAGCACTGTGGTTGTGGTTGACTGGTAAGGTGGTGTGTTATAGCACTGTGGTTGACTGGTAAGGTGGTGTGTTATAGCACTGTGGTTGTGGTTGACTGGTAAAGTGGTGTGTTATAGCACTGTGCCTGTGGTTGACTGGTAAAGTGGTGTGTTATAGCACTGTGGTTGTGGTTGACTTGTAAAGTCGTGTGTTATAGCACTGCTTGTGGTTGACTGGTAAGGTGGTGTGTTATAGCACTGTGGTTGTGGTTGACTGGTAAAGTGGTGTGTTATAGCACTGTGGTTGTGGTTGACTGGTAAAGTGGTGTGTTATAGCACTGTGGTTGTGGTTGACTGGTAAAGTGGTGTGTTATAGCACTGTGGTTGTGGTTGACTGGTAAGGTGGTGTGTTATAGCACTGTGGTTGTGGTTGACTGGTAAGGTGGTGTGTTATAGCACTGCTTGTGGTTGACTGGTAAGGTGGTGTGTTATAGCACTGTGGTTGTGGTTGACTGGTAAGGTGGTGTGTTATAGCACTGTGGTTGTGGTTGACTGGTAAAGTGGTGTGTTATAGCACTGCTTGTGGTTGACTGGTAAGGTGGTGTGTTATAGCACTGTGGTTGTGGTTGACTGGTAAAGTGGTGTGTTATAGCACTGCTTGTGGTTGACTGGTAAGGTGGTGTGTTATAGCACTGTGGTTGTGGTTGACTGGTAAGGTGGTGTGTTATAGCACTGTGGTTGTGGTTGACTGGTAAGGTGGTGTGTTATAGCACTGTGGTTGTGGTTGACTGGAAAAGTGGTGTGTTATAGCACTGTGGTTGTGGTTGACTGGTAAAGTGGTGTGTTATAGCACTGCTTGTGGTTGACTGGTAAGGTGGTGTGTTATAGCACTGTGGTTGTGGTTGACTGGTAAAGTGGTGTGTTATAGCACTGCTTGTGGTTGACTGGTAAAGTGGTGTGTTATAGCACTGTGGTTGTGGTTGACTGGTAAGGTGGTGTGTTATAGCACTGTGCCTGTGGTTGACTGGTAAAGTGGTGTGTTATAGCACTGTGGTTGTGGTTGACTGGTAAAGTGGTGTGTTATAGCACTGTACTTGTGGTTGACTGGTAAAGTGGTGTGTTATAGCACTGTGGTTGTGGTTGACTGGTAAAGTGGTGTGTTATAGCACTGTGCTTGTGGTTGACTGGTAAAGTGGTGTGTTATAGCACTGTGCTTGTGGTTGACTGGTAAGGTGGTGTGTTATAGCATTGTGCCTGTGGTTGACTGGTAAAGTGGTGTGTTATAGCACTGTGCTTGTGGTTGACTGGTAAGGTGGTGTGTTATAGCACTGTGGTTGTGGTTGACTGGTAAAGTGGTGTGTTATAACACTGTGCTTGTGGTCGACTGGTAAGGTGGTGTGTTATAGCACTGTGGTTGTGGTTGACTGGTAAAGTGGTGTGTTATAGCACTGTGCTTGTGGTTGACTGGTAAGGTGGTGTGTTATAGCACTGTGCCTGTGGTTGACTGGTAAAGTGGTGTGTTATAACACTGTGCTTGTGGTTGACTGGTAAGGTGGTGTGTTATAGCATTGTGGTTGTGGTTGACTGGTAAAGTGGTGTGTTATAACACTGTGCTTGTGGTTGACTGGTAAGGTGGTGTGTTATAGCACTGTGGTTGTGGTTGACTGGTAAAGTGGTGTGTTATAACACTGTGCTTGTGGTTGACTGGTAAGGTGGTGTGTTATAGCACTGTGGTTGTGGTTGACTGGTAAAGTGGTGTGTTATAACACTGTGCTTGTGGTCGACTGGTAAGGTGGTGTGTTATAGCATTGTGCTTGTGGCTGTGGTCCATAAAAACCCTACCTACGCAGGGTTTTTATGCTGCTTGTTGATTGCCTGCCCTTGGGGCCAGCTGGGTTTTTCCTACCAGTGTTTGTTTGGCCTTGGGTAGGAGGTAGTATCATCGATGCCAGGGGCGCAACGTACTGTGCAGCTCCCCGGAAGGGGAAAGGAGGAGCCCCAGACCCTCGCGCCGGTAATCCACCCTTCAGTTCTTGGCTGATGTGTTACTGGCAGGTTGTGGGCCTCTGGCTCCAGATTTTGTCGCAGTTTCTGTGCCTTGTGGCATGGTCCTGTCTCTACGGTCGGTGTGCGAGCCAGGAGTATTATTCTTCAAGTACTCACGCTGCATGTGCCTAGGGTTTCCTTCCTAGGTGCCTTGTATGTACTGCCCTTAGGGCTTGGGGTCTATCTCCGCTGTGTCTTTTATTGCTCAGTGATAGACTGCCCTTGGAGTCAGCTGGGGTTTTTGTTTACCCTTGTTTGTCTCTGGGTAGGGAGTAGTTTTTGTCAATGGTTGGGGTGCAAGGTACAGCACAGTTTATCACTTCTCATAACAGCTGGTTTTGTTCTGCCTGGGCACGTCTTCTTGCGGGGTTTTCTTTTTCTTTTTGTTTCCTCTGCCTGGTGGAGGGTCTTCCTCTTGGTTGGTCATACCCTATTGTTTTTGTTGGTACTTCCACTAGGCCCCCGACGAGTGTACACGTCCCGGAGGTACAGCTTTTAGCAGGTAGTTTTGGGGTGCTGGTTAGCTGTACTCTACTTGGGCTTCCCTTATCATGTCACCTAGTCTAAGGGCCCTGGAAAACCCCGCAGGGGCTCCTTGATTTGATGGATGAAACCTGAGTCCCCCTCTTGCTTTGTGCCAGGTTGATGGTTGCTTTGTCCCCTTGTCTCAGGGTGACATTCACCGGTTGTGCCTCCGCCATGCTGGGTCGGTGGTTCTTTTGACCCGGAGTCATGCGACGTTTGTTGTTTATACGTACTCCAGTTCACCCAAGCTACTGATCATGTTATGCGGGAATATGGGCTGAGACGTTGCATGCTCAGTTTAGATTGTTGCAACGTGATAGGTTGGTTATTTCCCCAAATGCCCCGCGACTGCCTCGTTTTGGTTTTAGGGACCCGGACTTGGGGTTATGAGTTGCTTCAACTTTGGTTCCGTCCGCCCATCCTTGTCTTTCCTCCTTCAGTTGTTCATCCGGATCCTCCTCCCCCCTTTGCTTCCAGCTCCGAAATGTCTGAGGGTTTCAGAGTTAGGGCAGGGTCTCGGTGGTGGTGAGACTCGGGCAGTCTTGAGGGAGTCCCCTTCTGGGGTGGAGACGGAGGCATTTGAGCCTGGTTCTCCAGCCAGAGCTTCTGGGTCTGACCAGTGGGCCCCTTTGTTCCTGCTTTTTTGGCAGCTCCTGCCTTTTCTTTAGAGACAGGGGGGGGGGGGGATTTGGAGGTTGGCTCAGCCACGGGTCCTTGTGAAGGGGGAAGGGGTTGACTTGGTGCCCATTGAACCCCGCCTTGGTTTTTGTACCCTCGGAGCACGGCTTGGTGTTACAAGGAGAGGGGTTCTCTTTCGCTCCCTCTTACGAATTGGATGTGGCGTCTACCCCTCCCCGGGTTCAGTTCCGTGATCCCGTTGGTTCTTTGGTTCCATCCTTCCGGAGGTTTTCAGCTTCCCGTGTCCCATCTCATGTGGTGCGGGAAGCCCTGGCGGCTTACCTCCTGTGGGACCTGGATTATGCTTCCGTAATGGATCCGTGTTCCTTCGTACTCGCCTAATTGTGCTTGCAGGGGTTGAGCTCTGGTTCTTTGGTCCTGCATCTCAACTGTCAATCAACTGGTGTACAGATTCCTGAGCTTACTGGGCTCTATCATATCTACACTTGAAGCTGTGAATGGAGTCAGCCTCCACCACATCACTTCCTAATGCATTCCATTTGTCTACTACTCTGACACTGGAAAAATTCTTTCCAACATCTCTATGGCCCATTGGGGAACTCAATTTCCACCTATGTCCCCTAGTGCATGTGCCCCTTGTGTTAAATAATGTCCTTATCTACCCTATCAATTCCTCTGAGAATCTTGTATGTGGTGATCCCTCTAACTCTTCTGTCTCCCAGTGATGCGAGGCTTAATTCCTGTAGTCTCTCCTCGTAGCTCATACCCCTCAGTTTGGGTACTAGTCTGGTGGCAAACCTTTGAACCTTTTCCAGTTTAGTCTTATCCTTGACTAGATATGGACGCCATGCTGGAGCTGCATACTCCAGGATTGGTCTGACATATGTGGTATATAATGTTCTGAAAGATTCCTTACACAGGTTTCTAAAGGCCGTTATTATGTTAGCCAACCTGGCATATGCCGCTGATGTTATCCTCTTGATATGAGCTTCAGGGGACAGGTCTGGCGTGATATCAACCCCCAGGTCTTTCTCTCTCTCTCTCTGACTTGAAGTACAGTATTTCAACTCCCAAATGATATCTTGTATCTGGTCTCCTGCTCCCTACACCTATCTTCATTACATTACATTGCCTTGGGTTAAACTCTAACAACCATTTGTTCGACCATTCCTGCAGCTTGTCCAGGTCTTCTTGAAGCCTCAAGCTGTCCTCCTCTGTCTTAATCCTTCTCATAATTTTGGTATCGTCAGCAAACATCGAAAGGAATGAGTCTATACCCTCTGGGAGATCATTTACGAATATCAGAAACAGGATAGGTCCGATTACAGAGCCCTGTGGGACTCCACTGGTGACTTCACGCCAATCTGAGGTCTCACCCCTCACTGTAACTCTCTGCTTCCTATTGCTTAGGTATTCCCTTATCCATTTTCTCTGTGGGGAGCCCCTACGGCTCCCTGGAGCTTATCGGGCTAATGTATGTTATGTTAGACCGGGACATTAGCTAAGGAGTTCAGACCTACCAGGGACCAGCGCCAGAACCTGGCCCCTTCAGAGAGGTTTCAGGGAGCAATGGCCCTGGAAAACCCCATATGGTT